ACACACACACACACACACACACAGCTGCTATTCATCTCCAGGAAGTGGCCTGAGTAAGGTGGGTCTCAGATTTCCCTAGGGCCCTGTTGCTAGTGTTGCAGCAGTACCTGCCGGGTGGAGCTGGCTTGGCCGGTCCCTTCTCCTGTCATGGCAGCCAGGGAGGGCGCTCGGGCATTCCAGGAGGCCGACACAGGTTGAGGGGGACGTGTGTGTGTATGTGTGTGTTAATCGACTGTTTATGCTTCACAGCTATGCTTTCGGGGGCATAAGAGTTATCCACAGATTTTGAACTACACACGGGTCTTAAACCCCAGGGTTGTTGAAGGGGGATGTGTACTAGTATTGGTTGTTGTTGTTGTTTAGTCCTTTAGTCATGTCCGACTCTTCGTGACCCCATGGACCAGAGCACGCCAGGCCCTCCTGTCTTCCACTGCCTCCCGGAGTTGGGTCAAATTCATGTTGGTCGCTTCCATGACACTGTCCCACCATCTCATCCTCTGTCGTCCCCTTCTCCTCTTGCCTTCACACTTTCCCATCATCAGGATCTTTTCCAGGGAGTCTTCTCTTCTCATGAATACTAGTATTGGTAGGTGCTGTTTGAAAGTACTTAAAATACGTATTTAATTACCGAGAAAAGCAAAATGAAGTAGTGAATCACAGAGAAGAGAAATAATGCCTCTCCACTTAGCCTAACAGAGAACGGAAGAAGAAAAAGGTAAAGTCCATATGGTTGAGCACAACTCCAGCCTGTGTGGTGGTTCATGTGCTGGAACAGGGATGGTTCATGTGCTGGAACAGAGAGCCAGGACCCTGTTTATTCAACTATCCAATAAAGTCCATATGGTTGAACACAACTCCAGCCTGTGTGGTGTGATGGTTCATGTGCTGGAACAGGGAGCCAGGACCCTGTTTATTCAACTATCCACTGACTGTTTGTGAGCCAGGCACACTTTCTGTCACCCTATTCTACCTCACAGGGTTGCTGAAGAGGCCACCATCATCATAGGCATCCTTCAGTCTCGAGAGACTATGGTAACATGCTCTGTATCAAGAAGTGTCCTCTCCAGAGCATGAAGCCTGGGTAAAGTAGTATGGAGGATAGGTTGTTACCCAAGCAGCAAATCCCCCCTCTCCACATTGCTGAAATGGTCCAATGGAAAGGCAGGAGCCAATACAACTGGTTCTGAACTGGCAAAAGCCTGAAACACTTTTTTGCATTTCCCACTAGTCTTATTGCACATGTAGAGCCTCTAGTGGCCAGCACTTAGATTTCACTTTAGAAACCTCCCCTCTCCCACATTATCCTGCAGTTAACCACATCCGCACATTGCGGACCAAAAAATAAAATTTAAAAAAAACCCACACACTCACACACAACTTTCCATGCATGATGCATTAAGGGGTGTGTGCATTTGCCACATGTTGGCATCTGCGAATAAAGAGAACTTCGCTTGGGCTGGAATGTCCATCTCGTTTCAGAACGGCCCCTTTTCTTCTTTTTGGAACAAACTTAACATTCCTGGATCATGTGCACAAACCAGAGCAAAGGAACTGGGAGGTGATCTTTTTTTTTCCCCTTGCACTTGTGACAAGCCCATAGAATGAATAGTAAAAAATGCAGAGAGAAAGAGGGAGAGAGCAGAAGGGAGGGGGATAGAGAGCAGAAAGAGAGCTTTAGAATCTCGTCACTCACGTCCCAGTTGTTGTTTTTTTACTGCCTTTTTCTGGGGAAAGTAGCCGAATTCTAATGCTTAGTTTTTTAGTTCAGCTTTGGAAATTTACTTTTTTTTAAACTATAACTCCTAGAATCCCCCCGGGGAACCACAATCGGTGCCTGGCTAAAGAGATTCTGGGAGCATTAATCTCTCCCCTCCCCATTGCTTAAAAAAGTAACTTTCTAGAAAAAGTAACTTTCACAAGTCTAGAAAAAGTAACTTTCACAAGTTCTGATTCTTGGCACGAGAGCTAACAGGGCTTATTAACGTTGCTTCAAGATCATCGCCTCTCTCTTACTCTTGATCGAATGTTGCACCGTTTGGAGCTGCGCCCCTCTGCACATGCTCAGAGGCATTCTCTACCTGTCCCAGGCATCACTGAGACTGGGCAGGTGGTGGAGCGCAGTAACTCCGTCCGCTGCACACTCTCTGCTGTGGGTGATCTTCGCTGGCCCCTCTCCCAGAAGGCGTCTCTGATCTGCCATCTCTAAAGGAAGGAAATCGGGGGGGGGGGGCGGTGGAGCGCTGGGGCTCAGATGAAGCCTTGAGAGCCTCGGTTACAAAGGAATAGCTTTTCCGCCCATGCTGGTTGGCATGTCTTTTCCATAGTCTCTGTGAAGCAGGGCTAACATACATATCAAGAACAGGATGGTGCCTTCCCCACTCCACAAAAGTCGATCGGGCGGGCATTTAAATCTTCAAGGCTGGCGATCGGGATCGCATTCTCTCCCGCCCGGGAGGAAGAAAGTAGATTTAGGCGGCCCAGAGCAGCAGAGAGGAAAAGGCAGCTGCTTCCCTCTGCCTAACCATAGCGCCGGCGCGATCGTGAGCCTGGACGCAGAGGCGTCCCAGAGAAGCTCACGGGGGGGGGGGGTCCTATTGGAAGAACTCCCCCCTCCCACGGGCGGCACACCCCCCCC